AATAATTTTTTTTTGGTGGAAAGTCTCTTTGAAAAAATGAAAAATTTTAGTACTTTTTATTTTAAATACAAGTATTTCGAATATTTTTTCCATTAGTATGATAAATTCTAAACATTTTATAATTTAAGATTTTAATTTATATTAATTTATCTCATCAATAAAAAATTCACTATTGTTATATTAAAAAGTTATATTTTAAAAAACCAAAAAAATGATTTCATCTAACAGTAATATTTAAAAAAAAAATTGCAAGATATTAATATATTCAAAGAACACTTCTAAAGGATCAATTTTAAAGATCCAAATAAAATTTATTATACAAATTTATTATACAAAATTATTTAATTTATTTATTATACAAAATTTATTATATAAATTTATTATACAAAAATATTAATTAAAACTTATTTAACAATTGTAATTTGTGTTAAATAAAGCAAAACAATAAAAATAAAATAAAAATATTCTTCATCATATCATTTTTTATTCTTGTCTCGGTTCGTTTTTAACTCTGAACTTAAATTGCTTATAACTTATAAATAAACTTTAACCGACATTTTTATGTCAATTTTTGTTTTGATCTCTAAAATTGATTCTCCAAAAATATTCCATAAATATATTAACATATATTTCATTCTTATTTTATATACTCAAAATTATATATATATATATCATTAAAAATTGAATAATTAAATTTTTATTTAACATGATATTATTTTGAGATTATATATAATGTATGAAAATTTTTTAATTGATTATATGCACGCATATATTTGATTATTGTAAATAAGAAGGATATTATTCGTTAATCATATGATAAATGTTAATATCATTTACATAACAAACCATTTCATTTTCGATCATAATTTTAAATTTATAATAAATTTATAATAATTTTTATAACAGTTATTTTCAAATATATAAATACAATATATTTTAATAAATAATATACTTACATAAAAAGTCATCAACGCTCCACAAGCTGGAGTTGCAAAAGTATCGAATACAGCACTACCAACAACTGTACCGGCACCAAGATCTGATTCGGTTAAAAACGTTCCAATAATATTCACAAACAGTTCAGGAAAAGAACTAGCCATTGCAAGAAATGTCGCTCCAGCAACATCGGTGCTTATATTCAAATTAATGCATATACAATCAATGGCTGGTAATAAATAATCATGGCAAACGAATGCCGTCAATAGAAAACAATATAATCCAAGGAAAGCATGTAATATTATTGCTCCATGACGTCGCTGTTCATATGTGAACAAATCATCAGGAAAATCATGTATCGAACGATCCGTACACTTCTTGTCTTTTTTTTTCTGTTCAATTATAAAGTACTTCTGTTTTCCATTATCTTTCACCACTTGTTTTATCATTTCGTTTTTTACTAATGATTCATTCACTTCATATGCTCGAATAATATTGGTCGAAATCGGGAACGATTCTATAAGTGAAACATTTCTTTCTCTTTCTCAAAGCTATAAAAAATATTAAATAGTAAAAAACAAGTGAATATATAAAAATTTTTAATTTATAGTTACAACTGCAAATTTGTTCAATTAATTTAAACGCATCAATCGATATTTTTATAAAAACAAAACAATTTTTGATTTGGATAATCATTTGAATGCAAAGAATTTATAAAATTAATAAATTAAATGTTCTCTATACAGTGAGACTTCCCTTGAAATATGTGATAGAACCAAATCAAAGTCTCATCGTATAGAAATAAAGAAATAAATACTTACTTTATATAATCCTCATTATTATAGTATTTGACACTATTAAACTATACACCAAATTATAATGAATGCGTTTTCTGACGAATAAATTCAAAATATATTATAGAATAAACTTATAAAACATTTGATGAATAATAAAACATGTAGTACATTTTCATATCATCAATTTGTTGATTATTTTAACAAATTTGTTAAAATATTGGTTTCATTGTAATTTTATATTAGTTATGAAACAAGTCTCATCATATACAGAATATTTTATAAAAAAAAGGATATTATTATATAATAATGAATAAATAAAAGATAAAATATTTTATTAAAAAATTATTAAAAAAAATATGAAAGAAATATAAATAAATAATATAAATAAAGAAAACGATAATATATTTGCGTTGTTATATTATATATAAATTTATTATATATAAATTTTATATATAAATATTATATATAATATTATATATTATATATAAATATTATATAAAACAAAATCATATTTTTGTTGTTTTATGATATATTAATTAATGTAATCTTCATTAAATTATAATATTTCACAATTTCATTCAAAAATTTTTCACAATATCTGTTAATAGATACAAAAATGATACAGAAAAATTATTATTTTGCATTTTATTTTTTTGCAATTTTAATTATTTCCATCTTTAATACATCAATCAATCATTCTTATCGTTCTATATTATGTAATCTTTTTTTATTTACACTTTTTCACTTAATTTTTTTATATTCATTCAAAATATTCTAATTAAATAAAAATGTATAATTTTAAGATCAATATATACATTATTCAGAATAAATATTTCTTTCATATTTCTCATTTTTTTTATTATCTTTTAATTAAGCTTCAATCAATATATTTTTACCTTATTTATTTTTAATTTTAAATTTTATTATTATTTATATACATTTATACATACCATGTAACTGGCATATATAATATAAATATATACAAGCACAAATCTTTGCCAGAAAAACCTTGACATATATTAGGATTATATGAGATATATTCCTTTAGAACAAATGAGCAAACTGCTATATAAAAATATTGGTTAAAATTTATTTATTCAGTTTTAAGAAATTGAAGTTTTTGTTAAAAATAAAATGATACCATTTGATCTGTATTTATTACTGTCATTTAATGCAAATTTAAATTGTTTATAATTTAATAAATAACTTTGTTTGTAACTTAATAATATATTTAGTATATTAACTTTTATATTTAATTTAATGTTTAGGATCGATCAAAGATATTACACGAATATATTAAGATACTCTGTGTGTGTGTGTGTGTGTGTGTGTGTGGCGCGCGCTCGCGCGTTTTATTTAAAATTATCATCTTAATAATTTTTGTTATTATTATTATTTATAAATTTGAAAGTTAAATGACTTCAAAAAATGTATTCTAATATTTTTTATGTTTTTATAGGTATATGTATCGAAGATTTATGAAAATCAACTTTGTATTGATGTAGCTTAACATATTTTATAAAATTATTGCTAAGAAATGATTAGAATATATTTCAATTTGAATTTTGTAAAGTCTTATTGTATGAAAGATAAAAAACATGCGGTCATATTTGCTTGTCATGTTTTTTTTTATCTTTCATGTAATAAATTTAAATTAATATCTTCTAAATTTTTATTTTTTTTACATGGTACTTAATATTTTTTTATAAAAAATGTTAAATTGCATCGAAAAAAAATTGCATATTAAAAAATATATGATTTCTTTTAAAAAGCAAAATTGATCTTCATAAATCCTTGACGCATCAAAAAAAGAAATGCTAAAATATATATATCAGAATACATATCCTTTGAAATCATTTAATTTTTTTTCATATTTTTTACTGCGATATGTATATATTTATGTATTTGAAATTAAAAAATTATGTATTAAATTAATTGAATCTTACCATTTTCAAGAATCGCGTAAGTTATCGAAACAGATATCGAGAGCACAATGATACACGTGTAACTTTTCAAGGATTGTATAATCATTTCGCATGTACCTTTCGGATGTTATCTATGAAATATTGTTTTTCAATGTGAATTGTTTGCTAAAATACGTTAAACTACATTTTAAGAAATGGTTTTCGCATTTATGTTACATTACATTCAACTGATTACTCCCTTCCTAACGGCCATCTAGACACTGTTATTATCTCTTTAATCATTGTCAACATATTGTCATTAGTCGATAACAATAACGAAATCCGACTTTAAAATCTCTTTACAAGTAATTGCGTGACAAATTAGATTTCTTTACTAAAAGAAAACAATCTCTTAATTAATAGTAACAATAATTCCAATAATTTGATATATTAATCATAATCATATCTTACAAATATCATTTTTATATTTTTCTTATTTATAGTTTTTTTATTTTTGTTTACAAATTGCATTACATTAACCAAAATTGTTTTTTTTCATATTATTTATCTTATTTTATTACACGAGAAATATAATAATCCTGCACATTTAATAATCTCAAATTGTTGAAATTCCTATTATCAGAATTTTACCATACTTCGTATTTCTTTTTCAATTTATATATTTCAATGTAAATCACATTGATTTTATACATTTTTATATGCTCTAATTTTATACATTCTATATAATAATATAATGATACAGGAAAATATTTAATTATATAAATTATATAAATGAATAAGATAAACTAAATTTCGAAAATAGAATGATTATATTCCTTTTTTATTTCATACTAACAATTGTGATACTATTTATTTTTTATTATAAATATCACTTATATGCTATAAAAAAAATTAAAAAATTTGTTTAATAAAATTAATATGATAGTGAAAGAAACGCATATATAATCTTATATATGATAAATCTTATAATGATAAAATAGCAAGATAAAAAATTTATTCAAGCACAAAACTATATATTTTTTGATTTATAAAATAAAAAATTAACAAAATTTTAGAGAAGATGAAGAAGTAACATTAATCAATATTTATTATATTGCAATCTTGCTATTTCTTCATCAGTTATATCTCAAATGTTATGTAGATATAATATGTATGTAATATTATCTAAATGAATAAAATACATACATGTATATATTTCCTAGTATATGCAAGCATATGTTTATATGTATTATGTATAACATACAAAATATGTTTTGTAAATATATAATCTATCACTTTTTCTTCGTTCTTAAGTACATATGTTTAATCATACACTGATATCAAACGAAATAAAGTTAAAGTATTTTTATAATATTCGTAAAATATAATTCAACATAATGCAACATACAGTATATATACAAACATTATGATATAAGATCATTTGATAAATTAGAATCTTTTAATTAATATGCTTGCATTCATTTGCTACTTCGTTGTATCTTTTTTGGGAGATTTATCTTTACCATACATAGAATCTAAGAATAATCCTGAAAATACTATTAATGTACCCATCCATTGTTTAGAAGTCAAGCTATTTCCAAAAATAAGTATTGAGCCTAAAACTGTAAAGAATTTTCTAGTTGTAGTTATAATGGAACATGGTAATGGACCAAATTCTGCAACAGTAAGAAATATAAAATATTGTCCAAATGCTCCTGCTATAGAAAAAGTAGCTATATGCCATATAGTAGAAGGATATTTATGTAAGAATTGAATAAATTCCAAAAGTTCTCTTGAAGCTATAATGACGATGCCACTAAAGATCACAGACCATCCATTCATATTCAACATCATATGGCCAGATTTAGAATTATGTTCAGATTTCATTCTTTCTTGTACAGCACTAGTTAAACCATCCATTGTTAATGAAAGTAATAACAATAATTCTCCAATGACTGTTTGTCCCTCTGAATGCTTTTTTAATGGATTGACATCTTTATACATAAATAAAGCTACTCCGATGACTACCAAGAAGACAAATAAATATTTTCTCACTGGATAAACCTGTAAAATAACATAATAAATTTTTATGAAATATAAAATATTCAACTTATGGCAAATAAAATTTATAATATATATATAATATAATGATATATATATGAATAATGTTTTTATATACATTATTACATAAATGTAAATAAATTTTAAATATTAAAAAAAACAATAGATACTAATAGAAAAATAATTAAAAATTAATATTTAATATATAATAATAATAATTAAAAATTATGTATGTACAAATTCTAAAATCCTTTTTTTATGTATTAAATAATATATTAAAATAAAATCAAAAGAAACTTAAAAAAGATTGCAATGAATATATAATAATTTTTATATAATTTATTATATAATATACAATAAAGGAAAAATACCTTATTTCCCAATAATACACCAAGTATCATTACAGGAATCGGTTTGCCAGCTTTTCCAATAACTTGTGTTGGATAACTAACAAATTGCAATGCCATATTACTACATACCATAGCAAGCAAATAAGTTAAGGCAGAAAGCGCATAATAAGTTTTCGGAGTAGTATCTTCATCCTGTTTCATGATTGTTAATAAACTTGTCTTGGCAAATAAATAATTAATTAAACATTGGAAGAAAACTAAAGAAAACATATACGTAAATTTTTCACTATTTTTTTCATCTCCATATTGTCCTCGTGTGATCTTTTCTTGTAACATACCAAAATGAAAATAACATACAAAAATGCCGAGAGCACAAAACAGGAGTTTGAACTGTTTCGTAGAAGTCATTGTATTTATATATGCATCAATATATTAGAATGATCGTAAATTCTATGATAATTATTATTTTGATCATGAACCAATGTCACGATGAAGAGAAAAGTGTTCGAGACATTCTACATACATAGATTGCAAATGAATAATACGTGGCATTTAACTATAGGTTATGTTTTAAATTGTACTTAAATTATATATATATATGTGTATGTAGATATATCGAGTATTAAGAAATCGATATTGATAAACTATCGATTTCTTGAAGAAAATAATTAGAAATATTTATATATATATATATACATAATATTTTTCTATAAATAATATTTCAAAATATATACTATGTATCTAAGAATAAGATTTATAAAAAAAGGAACAATTATTACTTATTTTAGAATATCATTTTGATCACATAAATTGATATTTGATTGATATTTAATTTGAAATTAAAAAAACTGCTACTAAAACTTTTTGAATGTTTTTTACATATAGTTTTATAGATTCCATTATTTATTATTAAATTTCTGATAAAATGATTTTTTATTTTAAATATCAGAATATATTCAATAATTCAAAATTATTTGCACAAAATTTTTTTATTTCTAGGATTTTTATGAATTGTATAATATTATATTGAATTTTTATCTAATCCATTTGAATGGCCAACCATCATATATCTAGCAAATTTATTATCTTTCAATTAAAGAATTCTGTTAAAGAATTATTTATGTATTTATTTATAAATATTAATATATATTAAAATTAGATTAACATAGTTTATATAATAATTATAAATAATAATATTATAATAATTTGTTATAAATTCCTGTATGTACATATATATATATATATATTACTTTCACTGCATTGTAAGTTGTATTATACAGTTTGTATATATAAAAGAAGAAAATTATATCTACAAAATTCTCATTTTTAATTTTATAAAATATAAGATTTTAAAAAAATATTATAATCTAGACTTATATTTAAAGATTTTTTTAAATCTTAACACTAATAACTGAATCTAATAATATGATACATTAGATTCAAATTGATTGCTTTCATATGAACTTGATTTCAAATTAACATGCAAATTCAGAGCGAAATTCAAACTATATACATAACTATATATTAAATACATGATAATAACAATAAATACATATAAATACATTAATCCATGATGAGAGTGATACTAACAAAAAGAAAATTAAAATTCAATGGACAGGAAATTCCTTATTGAAAATCCCGAACTAAATTATTATTGTAATTATTATTGTAATTGTATTATTATTGTTGTATAATAAATTAAAAATTCAGTAAATGCCTTTAAAGCATTATATTCATAATGTTTTCTGACTTTGTCTTCAACTTAAATTTCTTTCGTGTATTTTTTCTTGTACTTTTCTTTTGTTTCTATATTTTGCGCGACAGTCAAATTAATAATGTTTCATATCTATATACACAGAAATGAAAAATGGATCGTGAACATCAAAAAATTCTGAAACAGAGATTTTAAGAAAAAAAAAATTTTTATAGAATATTTTTATATTTTGACTACATTTCACAAACAACATCTACAATAAAAAATCTTATGATCAAAAATTTTTAATTTTTGCGCATTTCGTCGAGTATAATATAACTACATCAATAGACAATATACATCGAATAGTTATTTTCTTGACCGCTAAATACGACATATAATTAAAATATAGTTGAAATTTAATTTTCCTTTTCCATATTTATTATTATCATTATCAATTCTTTGAAATTATTATCAATTCTTTGAAATTACTATTATTATTACTATTATTATTATTATTATTATACGTGAATTCTAAATTTGCAAATTTTAAAATCACATTTTAATTAGAAATAAAATAAAAAGGAAAAAACTGAAAAGGAAAACTGAAAGGAAAAACTGAAAAAGACTGAACGGAAATAATTATTATATCATTTACAGAGATGCATGTAAAATATGTTATAATATCACGTTCATGTGACAAATTATGATTTTTATGATTACAACACTAAATATCGTGATTTTGTCGCATTATCATAGCATTGAATTCGATATCACATAAAAATCATGATAATAAAAGTTATTATAATACTTAATTTCGCATGAAAACGCACCTTAATATATGTACAGATAATCATATTATATATACATGGTAATCACATTCTATTGGTCCTTTTCCAATTAGTTTTTTTTAAATAATCCAATCAGAATGTGCTGCAAAGATTCCGCATTTGATAATTTTGCTTAGATATACCAAAAATCACGTATATTTAGATACATATGTATTGTTCTTCTTTAATTCATGTAATTTTTAAAATATTGATATTAATTTAGATTAAATTTATGTTTTCCCAAATTTTAATTAATGTTAGCTCTGAAAAATGTTTCTCAATTATTGAGAATATAGTTATTCCTAATAGATTATTACCGAATAATAAACATATGTACATATGTAAAAAATTATTTTTTGTATCAAAACTTATTGAATAAATTTTGTTAATGAAAATAATCTTTTAATTTATTTTCTTATTAATAATTTTGAAAATATAATTTGTGAAAATATATTCTCGATTCATAAGTTAATGTTTAATTAAAATAATTATAAATTAATTATAATTAAATTAAAAATTAAAAAGAATGAGTTCAAAATCATAATCTCTAATAAGTTTTTCAATTAAAAAAAATTTTAGATAAGAATTTGGTAAGAATTTAAAAATTAATGTCGCAACGAAATATTTTCGTATTAATATATATATGTATATATATTATATATATATGTATATATAAATATATAATTTGTGAACATATAATTGAATGAAGATATTAAATTATTTTATAAATTATTAAGATATTAACATATTTTATTGTCCATTCATTCTTGCATGGTATGCTCATTGATGTATATAGTTTTATGACGTTCTGTGACGTTCTTTTTTCTATGATATAAAAATTTTAGTAATTCTATTTTAATTTTTTCATCATATATATGTTTATATATATATATTTACAATTACTTAAATCTTTCGGCATATGATGAATTTTACAATTAATTAAACGTTTAATTTTAAATATTTATAATTTAAAATATATTTATAATTCTACAATCACTTAACCAATATTTTAATTAATTTAAATCGATTTAATAAATTTATTAAATAATTATTATATTAAATTTACTTATTTAATAATTTTCTATTTTTAAAATGAAAAATTCAATAAGAATTATAAAAAAAAAATTAATTCTATTGCTCATATTCACAAATATAATAACATTACGTTCTGTAGCTGAAAGTTCTGAAACAGATGATTCAAATGAAGAATCTTATCATTGTAATAGTCGCACTTTCGACAGACAAACAAATATAAAGAATTATTATAAGAAAGAAATACAAAATTCTTGTTTGGCGAATGATATTCTTCATGTTTATGAAAAGACTGTGAATTCTATAAATCATTTAAAAAACATGATTAAGATAAAGACGGGTATTTTCACAATTGGTACAAATGATCCAATTTTTATTGCTGATGGCGAAGGACCAAAACAGCAAATATATTTAAATAGTTTTTACATAGATAAGACGGAAGTGAGTAATCGCGATTTTGCAAAATTCGTTGATGCCACTAATTATAAAACAGAAGCAGAAAGATTCGGAGATTCATTTGTATTTGGAGGTCTGTTAAAACAAAAAGATCAAGAGAATGTAACGCTTGTTGTTGCTCAAGCTCCTTGGTGGTTACAAGTAAAAAATGCAAATTGGCTACATCCAGAGGGTCCTGAATCAGATGTTAAGAGTATGACTCATCTTTTTGATTGCATATTACCTAATTGAAAATAACAACAATTAAAATTAAATAATCCAGATAGAATGGATCATCCTGTTGTTCATGTATCATGGAACGATGCTATTGCCTATTGCAATTGGTTAGGAAAACGATTACCTACTGAAGCAGAATGGGAAGTTGCATGTCGAGGAGGATTATCGGATAGATTATATCCATGGGGAAATAAATTAATTCCAAATGGTCAATACAGGTAAATAAAACTCCGAATATATATCAAAATTTAATAATTAAAGTCAAAATATAATAGATAATAATAATTTCTAGAGCAAATACATGGCAAGGTGATTTCCCAAATAATAATACCAAAGAAGATGGATATGAAGGAACATCACCCGTTAGAGAATTCCCACCAAATAAATATGGATTATATAATATGATAGGAAATGTTTGGGAATGGACATTTGATTGGTGGACGATTGAAATCACAACACGAGGCGGATCTATTAATCCTGTAATAATATAAGAATTATTTGTATTTTCTTTTTTTTTCTTTTTTTTTTATTTTTTTTTCCTTTTTTTTCTCTTTCCTTATAAAGTTGACAACATTCTGTATTATGTGAAACATATTTTCAGACTGGACCAAGTCAAGGTATAAACAAAGTGAAAAAGGGTGGTTCCTATCTTTGTCACAAAAGTTATTGTTTTCGATATAGATGTGCTGCACGGAGCCAAAATACTCCTGATACAACAGCTGGAAATCTTGGTTTTAGATGTGCATTATCAGTTTAATTTTATATTTAAATGAATTCTTTTAAATAAATAATCTGAATATTTCTTCTTATATATTTCTTATTATATATTCCATTATTTTTTTATATGATTATATTATATAGTATATACACATTGAAATGAAAAAAAAAAATTTAGTTTCTAAAAGTAAAATTATTTTTGTTTCATACAAATCAATCTAAATATTTATTTTATATTTTAATTTTTTATTTAATTCTATTTAATAACTATTAATAACTATGTATTTATTCAATTTTTATATTTGTTTAAGTCATTTAGCTATGCAATATATATATTATTAACATATATATATATATATATGTACAAATGTAAGTATTATTACTGCATGATATATATATATCTAATTTTTAAACCATAAACGTAGTCCGCGACTCAAAGTAAGACAAATATAATGAAGAAATATTATTTGTGAATAAAAAATAATTCAAAATGATTTTATACTGTATCAGATATGTACTACAAATATCTATGTGTAAGTGAGATATTTAATGCAATTTAAATCCAAAATTAATCTTATCGAATTGAAAAAAATATAAAGTTTTATTTATCAAGAA